CTCGACTTGGAAACAAATTGTTTTATTTATTTATTTATTTTGGTAATTATAGGCCTTCTGTGTTTATTTATTTATTTATTTTTGGTACAACTGAGGGAAACTAACTAATTAGCAGCGCAAATAAGATACGCCTAATAGATCCCCTTCAAGGAAAGCATTAAGGCCAGGCGGTGGAAAATAAAAAATGGTGGTTCCTACTTGTAAACTACGCCCAATTCCTGCGAGGAAATCAGCAGCAAAATTACCCTCCTGAGGTGTGTGTTGAATGACAAATGAAATGAATTCATTACTTAACCGGCGAATGTCAGCTACTAGTATAGCTGCTAAGCTGTCGTTGTCCTTGGTGCCTTCAATAACCTGAACTGCAGCAAGGGAGTCCATTTCTACAACTAGGTGACTAACCTTTACTCGACATCCCCATAACTCAGCTCGGAAAATGGAAGCTTGTCTAATGTTCACAGAAAAGCCTTTTATAAAAGCACCTGTTGAATCCCGAAGAACTCCCCCAGCACTTGCCAACCCAGAAACTTGCTCTCTAGAGCCATTTGTATTTAATTTGCAAAAAGGAGAGTAAGGCGGTTGCCAACTTATCCACCTTAGAGCCCTATCCTTATTGAAGATTTTACAAGCCATAGCCTTAAAAGTGTCCAACGCATAATTCTTAATGAGACTGCAAAGCACAGCTGCTGACAGTTCCTCCCCTTTAAAAATCAAAAGATTCCTGCACTTCCAAAGTTGCCAAATTGTGGAGAGAAAAAGTACATCATGGGACATATTTCCTTGCAACACGTTTTATTTATTTATTTATTCATAGAAGGATATTACACAATTTAAACGACATAATTTTTTTTTATCTTAAATTACATAATCAAAAATAATTATCTCATATTTTTTTATTATCTTCATTCACAATTTAAACTATTATATAAGAATTAATACTAATAAGAGTTTAATCGAATTTATATTTATTAATTAAAATATTTTAATTTAAGATTAAAATCAATAATTCAAATATTTACCACGTTATACTGAGAAATATCTTTTTATTTAACAATTACTTTTATTTTTTGAGATAATATAGTGTTAATTATAAAATATGGAATTCAGAAAAAATTTCCAAAAAATTTTCACACTATAAAATTAAAAGTAAGAGGTTTATAGTTTCGATCTCTAACTTTTCAAAAGCCATAAACAATTTTTAAAAAAATCAAACACTTCTCAAAACTACATATTCAATTTTTATACCCAAATTATAGATATTTTTATAAACTGGACTAATAAACATGCAAGCAATGATACAAGTCTTCCAATGATCAGTTTCCTTTGTAGACAAAAAAAGAGACAGATCCGAGTTCAAAAAAAAAAAAAAAGAGACAGATCCATCAAGTGTTTAGACCCCTTTTAGTAGACAGCCCGCCAAGGCCCACAAAAAATTGGGCCAAGCCTGAAATTTTGCAATTTGCTACAGTTCTCCAATCATAGAGTTTTCATTGAATAGTGGCTTATGGAGGGGAGAGCCGAGAATCGAGAGGGAAGTCAATGCAAAATTTGCGTAGATGACCAAAACGCACCGAGATTTTTATAAAGAAATTGAACGGACAGAATAATTAAAGTGGTTCATTACCTATTTTCAAAAAAAATAAAAAAAGAATAATTAAAGTGGAAATACGACGGAAACTTCCCACCATTGCCCACCGAGAGGGCTCACATTGCGGCTAGGTCGTGGCGTGCTTCGTTAAGGTCGGTTAATTATTCATTAAATCTAGGGAATGAATTTTTTATTATTATTATTTAATCATATTAATTTATTAATTATTATTTTTATCAAAAAAAAAAAGACTAACATTATTACACACAGTGACACACAGATAAAGTTAAGGTCACCATTGCTCCACGGAAGGGTGGTGCTGAAAATAACAACTAAAGTGGAACAGCTGTCTTCATTCTGCGTGGCTAGCATGTCTGCTAGCCACTAGCGGAGAGAAGGGGAGGCCCACCCTAAGAAAAAAAAACCCATGGAGGAGGACTAAGCCCGGTGAAGGTGTAAACGAGGAGACTAATTGGAAAGAGTATCTGCGACAATGCTGGTGAGATTCAAGTTAACATCACGGAAACATCCTGGAAGGTAGGAGGAAAATGAGGTGTCCTTGATATATTAAGTGTATGACATTTTGAATTTTTTCATTTTTTTAAAAAAATTATGTTTTTAATGTATAAGTTAAGATAATATTTATTATAT